CCCAGAGGAGAGATTTAGGGGCTGGGGCTGCTGCGCTCCAGCGTTTCGGCACTGCTGCGTAGCCCCTGCGAGAGGAAAACACTTTCTAAGCAAAAAGCACCAGCTCCCTCTGGTGCCACCTCCAGCTCCAGCTTCCAGCCCTTCCACCTCCTGCCTCCTGCCCGTCTCGCAGGACGGCCAAAGCCGAACCCAAGCCCTGTGACGCCGGGAATCAGCCGTAAGGGCTGTGGTGGCGGCCGCCTGCCCCCTGGCACGCGGGAGGGTGGCCCTGCAGCGATGAGGAGAGGGACACACGGCAGCCACGGCCGGTCTCTCCTAAGGCCGCTGAAGAAGTGGCCCTCGCAGCATTTCTCCAGAAACTGAATTGTTTCTGCAACTATCCACGCTTTCTGCCTGGGACACAACTCGTTTGCAACGCTTCCCTCTCCCAAAACTCTTCCAGCCCCACAGTGTGCAATTTCCCTTATCCCCAGCCATAAAATCAGACTGAGTTTCTCCCTCTTCCTGACTGCCCCTTCCACACCGGACCTTTTCTCTCACCCTTTTCAGCTGCCCTGGCTGACCTATAGTCACTCAGTTCATCCCAGGCTTCCCATCCCATTCGATCCCTCCAGTTGTTTCTCTGGCTCTCCTCTGAACAATCTCTCTTAATTTAAAAATAAAGTCCAGGCTGGTGAAAAGAATAAGGCGTCACGGCAATAAAACTCCATTAAATAAGATTACATTTGATCACAGAAAAAAAAGCCCACAGTGAAACCATTAACAGTGGAAAATATTTGTATCAGGGATCTGCATGACAGCTGGTACGATTAAATTCCCATGTAAAGCCAGTGTTAGTGCTTTCATCTGTCAATAGCTGCTGGGAGGTGGGGGGGGAATGGAACATTTGACAAGAATGCATTAAAATATTTCACTGAAGATCCATCAAAAGCACGAACAATTTATTGCAGGGAGGTGACCAAATTCTGCAGCTCTAAGCCACGGTGGAGCAGGGCCAGAGCCGAGCCGGCAGCGCTCCCACCCTAGGACGGCTGCGATACAGTTAGTGCCCGTAGGAGATGGCAAAAGCAGAGACAGACAATGCCGGCGCAGGAATTTCTTCCCCCTCTCCCTCCCAAGGTGGAGAAGCACGACAAAAATCAGCAGGGCGTTTGTATTTGCTTTCAGAGTTAGCATGAGCCAATAGATGCTCCCAGGGATATCTTCTCTATGGGGGAGCTGCTGGAAAAGAGAGGTTGGAGGAATCACGGCGGGAACGGGCGATGAGGAGGGAAGCGGGAGAGGAGGCAACAGCACGCACTGATTCGGGGGAGGCAGCTGGTAAGACAGGAATCAAAAATAACAGGAGGTTTGGAACAGTAGGGCCCTAAGGCGCTGGCCCAGGAGGCCAAGGAAGACCTGGACACAAGGAGGCCAACGCAGGCTTTGAGAAAACCACCTCTGCAGAAGCTTCACCAAACCCAACACGCTGTGGGCATCCTCTGGATGTGTCAACCAGGAAAGGAGAGGAGCCAAGAGTGGTCCCCCAATTGGTGACAAGGAGAATTTAAACCTTCTCCCACATCGCCACGGCTGTGTCTGTGACTGGCTTTAGCAAACCCAAGAGCTCTTGCAGAGGCACCAGGAGAACTTGCTCAGAAAGAGGGGATACGGCTCCAGATGGGGCAGCTGGGCCCTGCTGAGATGCCTTTTGGAGTGGAAGAGCACTTTGGCAAACTGATACGATGACAAAACCAAGAACACGGCACAGGGCAGCAAAGCAGACCTCGGTGGGGGCCACTGAACACCTCCAGCGGCGCATTTCACCTTTTTAATTAAGAGCCATTAGCCCCAATTTCCAACCCTTTTCTAATTAATGACCCAGTGCATCGTTGCATTTGCAGGATCTGATTTTATTACGTGAGTGGTTAAAGGCCTGTGGAGATTTTCTGCCTCCCACACCTGGCCGGCTCCTTTCCCGGTCAGCGCACGGGCAACTCCCCTGCACACCAGCTCTCAGCTGCTTCGGGAAGACGTCAGACACGGCAGTGATTGCAAAAAACCACCTAAGAGCAGCTTTCGCGGTTCCTGACACAGGCAAGGACCCTCCAGTAAATTCCAGCCTGACCAGCTGGGAACTGGTCGTCACTCTCTCCAGCTCAACAACGATGTACGATGGGTTTCTGAAAGCAGCACCGGGTTCTCCTGATGAAGTCTTGTGACCACCAGGTTTTTTCCTCCTGTTGCAGATCCCGCTTTCTAGGAAGTTTGTAAACTTACTAAAACCAGCACCGATACGTAATTTAGCCTTCTGCTAAAGAGCACGTGCCACGCTGCGTCTCTGCTGTTTTCCTCAGAAAGCCCGACCTCATCGAAGTCTGCGGGTGTCTTACTCATCAGGATTAGCATTAGTTGGACTGAGCCCATAGTAAATTCATATGGTTTCCAGGCAAGGCCCTGCCTTGCCAGCTGAAGATGCAAGGATGGATGGATAAAGGACAAAAGACGAGTGAGAACCACCAGGCTGAGCAGCAGAAACCCCCCCCTCTGCCTCACCGACGCGCTGGGAAGCAGGTACGGCTTTGAATTTATCAGACTCACCGTGGGCCTTCATCTGAGGTGTGATGTGTAGCTCAAAGTCCAACGACCCAACAAAGTCGGGGATGTTTCTGACCCGAGCTTTGGAGTCAGGCCCACCTTCTTGTGTGGTGAAGATGTGGGCAGGATGCAAAACTCGGCACAAGTTCTGCAACGGGCACGGTTACTCCATCACGTCCGAAGCTTTGCAGGTCTAGAAGTGTCAGCGTTCAGCTTTTGCATTTCACAGAAAATAGGTGGGCTCCTGCCTTTCATCTGGGAGTATTTAAGACTTCAGCAGTCTGTAAATCGATAGATGCCAAGGAAAAACCCAGCAAATGTATTGATTGACTTGTTTTCCCGTAGCTTGCTGAACAGTAACACGATGCGACTGCTGTCAATCGAGAAAGTGAAGGAGATCCTACCTCAAATGTCTGAAATTGGGGACCCCAGAGGACAGAGAGATCAGTGCACTGGCATTAAACCCTTCCCTAAAGAGAAAGATGCTGCAAAGGAGCCGGATGCCTCCAAGCCTTGATGAGCACATTCAATTCATCACACCAGCTCCAGCAAAAGTTAGAAGCAACTTAAAGCTATTGCCTTTCATGCCTTGTTTTCAAAGAAACTACCCCGATTTGCAGCACTTTCAGGATGCAGCTAATTGTCATCAGACAACCCCTCAGTGGCTTTTGTAAATCCCTGCACTTTCCCCTGGGCGACTACGCTGAGGAAGCGCGGGGGGACCTGCGGGCAGCCATCGGAGATGGGAACGACGGGGCCGAGATTCAAAACCTTCCTCTCTGCCCCCCTGAGACGGTTCAAGCGTGGTGCCTCCCCAGGCAAGACCAGGTTTTGATCTTGACCGCATACGCTGCATCCCGAGCTGCGGAAACGAGGGCATCGTGCTATTAGACAGAAAATATAACTCTTGAGAAAGATAAAAGTGAATTTTTGGGAAACTTTTCTGCTTTAATACAAGCAACTAATCTTGTAAGAACAGGTTAGAGGGAATGTGAAGAGTGTTTGATTCAGGGACTTGAAACATTTCTGCCTCTTTCAAAGGTTTTACATTTCAATGGGCTGCTAAAACCACCAGGTTTCTCAGGCACGAAATGGACATTATGGGCACAAACGTACCCAGAAGCTTATTAGGCCAGGTGAAAAAAGAAGGGTTATTATACCAGCAAAGCACAAAAACAGTCCAATACTCTCCCTCGCATGGCATTAAGTGAGATTTAGCAATTTTTCATGACTTCATCACACACTTAAAATCCAGCTAAATGACACCTTATTGTGCCACATCCTGGGCCAGAGCTATCTCAAAGCCCTCTTCCAGCAATAACCAGTTAATCTCCCTCCACCACACGTGAAGCTGGGTGGAAAAAGCCAGCAGATGCTACGGTGACTGCCTGTCTATACGTACAGACGAGAGGCACATTATGCTGCCAAATTCAGGGGTTTACAGGCCACAGGAGATCACTTGATCATCTTGTGTGACCCCCTTACATGGTGGACATGGGGACATCATGTGATGATAAGAGTCTTCCAGAGGAAGGCTGGCTGCATCAAGTCCCCATGTCCACCATGTAAGGGGGTCACACAAGATGATCAAGTGGCCTGTATGAACGACCTCGTCTCAGACCTGAGGAGTGGCTGGCAGGAGCATCTCTGCCAGAAAGGCATCGGCATCAAGAGCGGGAGAATCCACCTTTCCTCCGAGACGCTAACTCTCCAACATTAATAATTTGCTTCTCATGATTTATCTGCCCTGGGTTCCCAGCCACTGCTCCTTGGTGGGTCTCTTCCACTCCAGGAAAGTCCACAGATGCCACAACCAAACCGTCTCTCAGTTCTTTTTCAGATTGAGGGCTCAATCTCTCACCCAGGGCTGTTTCTCCTGCCCTTCCATCATTTTAATGACCCATTTTGCCACAACCTTGTTTCTCAACCGTCTCAAGCCAAGAGCTCTGTCAAAACACAACAAAATATGTTCCCTCGACAAAGCTGACATGCAGCACTCTGGCAAAACAGAGAGTCAGCAGTTACCCTTACCCACGGAGACTAAAATAGCAAGGAGGACACGAAATCAGCCCACGAGCTACAAGAAAGACACAAACACGTTTACCAAAAAGCTCCCTTGCAGCAAACATTAAGGCATCACTGGTAGGACCCGCACGCAAACTCCAGCCCCTCCAGACTCAAAACTATCCCAGTTTGTGTACTTCTGGCGGTCTTATTTTGGTTATTTTGGGCTTTTCCTTGGGAATAATTTTTTTAAAAACACTTCGCCATCAGCTAAATGGCGCCCGGCTCCAAACCATGAACGCCCTAAGTAGTTTGCAAACTTCTGAAACAAACTGCAAGACTGAAAATGCCTCTGAGCACCCGACACACCA